GTGCTTCATTGGCAAATTTTATAAGTTCTCACAATTTATTCAACATATTCTCACTGTTAAATTGGTAAGAATATGGAATACTGCCAATGAAATGATAAGAATTTTAATTGTCACCATATAATTGGTAAAAATTTATATTCTCATTTTAATATGATGGTGATAATTTGGATTCCAATGAATGGTGAATTTAAAGCGAGAGGGTCGTCACCTGCGCACATGTTGGAATTGAGTTCCAAGTGACGATAACACACGCTAAAAGGCTCATGGGTAGACGCTTGTTTGTAAACAATGACACACTATGGCCATCTGACACATGCGCAGGTGATGACTTCCCCGCTTCAAATATTCTTATCAATATCAGTGATAATAATGTCAAGTTTTGCTGAACTGCAATAAAGTGTCAGTTCCACGTTCTAGTCTCACATATTTTACCAATAGTGTACTTTATACAAGCAACTAATGTGAAAAACCTGATACTAATACTATTATAAATATATTTTTGTATTCAAAGATACTTTTTTAGCTCCGCTGTCGACTTTGTCGAGCGGAGCTTATCATATGAGTGATTGTCCGTCGTCGTCCGTGACAATGTTTTACTTTTTCGACTTCTTCTTGAAAACTACAAGCCTTAATGCTTTGATACTTGGTGTATATGTACCTTGGGTAGACCTCTCTCAGATTTGTTCATTTCATGATGATATCTTCAATTCTCTAATTTTGGTGAATATTTTTGTCATTTTTGGTAAAAAGTGATATTTTCGACTTTTTGTTGAAAACCGCAAGTCCAATTGCTTTGATATTACACATATAGGTATTACATGTGGACCTCTCTCAGATTTGTTTATTGTGTAATGATATCTTTAATTCTCTAATTTTGGTGAATATTTTTGTAATTTTTGGTAAAAAGTGATATTTTCAACTTTTTGTTGAAAACCGCAAGTCCAATTGCTTTGATATTACACATATAGGTATTACATGTGGACTTCTCTCAGATTTGTTCATTTTGTAATGATATCTTTAATTCTCTAATTTTGGTGATTATTTTTTGTAATTTTTGGTAAAAAGTGATATTTTCGACTTCTTGTTAAAAACCAAAGTTCAATTGCTTTGATATTACATATATAATAACTATATGTAGACTTTTCTTAGATTTGTTCATTTTGTAATGATATCTTTAATTCTCTAATTTTGGTGATTATTTTTTGTAATTTTGGGTAAAAAGTGATATTTTCGACTTCTTGTTAAAAACCAAAAGTTCAATTGCTTTGATGTAGACTTTTTCTTAGATTTGTTCATTTT